GACAATGAAACTCATGTCATATTTCAAGATTATGTCAATAAATTGTATAATGACATCGACTCCGATATCAACGTCTTAAATATAGTATGAAATAAAAATATAAATTTTACTCATAATAAACTCAAATCAAAAATTATATTTAAATTCATTTAACAGATGACGGCTATAGTACTGTTCAATCCCTATCGACCGGGACTTAAATACTCAGAGATTGTAAAGTAAGCCCTGAATGGCATCTAAACTAATTGTAGTCACTTTTAATGACTTTTAATATCATTTCCAACACTAGACTACAGCAACACATTTACATGCATTTACTCAAACGTTATCTAATAATCAAATATCAGAGCAAATGGGATGCAAATGAGAAATTCATGCAATTATTAAACTCTTTAATTGATTTATATTACGTCGATATGAAGACTAAACAAAACTTACTTAACATATCAAATCATAAATACCCACCATTGCTCCGGGAGGTATTGGATGTATCATAATCATCAATATAATTTTACAATCCTATAATTAGGATATAAATTAAAACAATTTTATTTTAGAATTGTTTAGTATTTTTAACTTTCATTCATTAAAATGTAAAGTATTTTAATTTTACAGTTATGTTATTTTATCTTATTAAGATAAGTTTTATTTAAATATGATATATTATTTTGTACTAAAAAAAAGTATTATAACTATATCTTTAATAAATATAAATTATATATATAATAATAAATATAATAATATAATCAAACGAATAAATTATAATGAAATTCATAATTATTTATATATTATTTATGATTATTATATAAAATATTTCTGATTCAATATAAGTAATATTTAATATTTATTAAATAAAATATAAATTTTTACTTAATATTCTTTATAAGCAACATTAAAGCAAATAAATATTTATTTTAAAAGTCGTTATATATTAATGATTTGTCAGCAAATATCAAAGGACCAAATAAATAATATTACTATAAACAACTTTGTACATAGTACATTTTTAATCTAAATATTATGCTATAGAATATACTGGGACAATTATTTACAAATATTTGCAATAGATGCAGGTAAATATGCATCATATAATTTTTGCTGAAATATCCATATTACTTAATCACAACATTTACAGTTCATTTTTAACGCACAATTTTACTTTTAGATAATATTACTTATTTACAAGTCTTTGGGTACAGTTTATCATTTAAACTTTAGATTACACTATAATTGATTAATATAACAATACCTGTAACTACTTTATTTAAATTTAATAAATGTAATATAAAGTTTTCAATTGAGTTTATACTGAATTTCGCGGTCATATTAAGTTCTGATAACTAAATTATTGTATTAAAATATATGAAAAATACAACATAAAGTACAGGTATATTATAATTTACTTATTTGCACATTAATTTTAAGTTCATTGTGCACTGTTTTAAAAGAGAATTTGCAAGGTCATTTGGGTATAGATTCTATACTATAGAATAGATAAGTTCTGTACTTGCATATTTTACACTCTACTTTTAGTTTATGCTTATGCTTTAAGTTTTCTAGTTTTAAATGTGACTGATCAAATTGAAATTCATTAACTAAACACTTATCAATACAGATGTGGTGATAAAATGTGTTAATACTATAGTTTGTCCTCAATAATACAAAAAAGCATTTGCACTGACAGTAGGATGCAATACATTATGAACTATACATTTATCTAATTAATAATACATTAGATGCTAATTATTGCTACAAAGGCTCTATGTATATAATATTTATATTATTTAGTTCAAAGTCTACAAAATACAATTTACATTTATTTCCTACTTAAATGAATATCTTATAACAAAATTATGCTAAAGTGTACACCATTTTTATAATTTTAATTGTTTTCTCCAATTAATTTATACTATTGTACATTCATTATAGATAGACACTAAAGTCCTTGCTTTTATAAAACACGAATTTATGAAACATCTATAAATATTAAATATGTTCTATTATAAAAGTGATAATAGATTATTGATTACGTTTAATAAACTACAAACAAGGTTTAGAAAAATTTTGTCAGAATTACGATTTCATATATCTGATGTTCACAGTGTGTAGCTATTATTTAAATCATAAATACATTTAATTGTAATTAATTTATTTATAAAATATATAAATTATCTATTAAAAGTTAAATATATATTTTTAAAAAGTTTCTTATTATTGTTAATTGTTTATTAATTTTTTTAAAAAAACTTTTATAATATACTTCTTATTCAGGTTCAGACAATTCTATAACAAGCCATGAATTGAAATGTTGCCATAGAAATGCGAACGAATGGCAGTTATTTTTATGTATAAATGAATATTACTTCATAAAACTTATGAATTTCATAGGTTTCCACCTCTGGGTACATTTTACGATTAAGAATTTGTTGCAAAAAATTATAAATTTAATAAATAAAAAGAAAAAGTAAATATAATGCCTAAAAATACATTAATGAAAACGTGTATAATATGTGGCGATAAGGCAACGGGTATGGGTGTAAACAATTAATTTAATACATAATTTTAATTAATTTTTCTCATTTAGGCTATAATTTTAATGCACCCACATGCGAGTCATGCAAAGCATTTTTCAGGAGAAATGCGCTCAAGGTATGTTTAATTTATATACTGAATTTAAAATTATTCTGGTTAATTCACATAATAATAAACAATAAATAATTTTATGGCTAACTTAGAAATATTTCCAAACCAAACTATTAAAACTAATATACATTTAACAGGGCATCAAAAGCTGTAACTTTGATTGCAATTGTGTAATCAATTTGAAAACCCGAAGGATATGTGGTTATTGTCGACTTAAAAAGTGTTTTGATTGTGGTATGAAAAAGGTTAGTTAATAATTTACATTGATTAATTTCTAAATTAAATAATACTCAATTGTGTAATCAATTTGAAAACCCGAAGGATATGTGGTTATTGTCGACTTAAGAAGTGTTTTGATTGTGGTATGAAAAAGGTTAGTTAATAATTTACATTGATTGATTTCTAAATTAAATAATACAATACTATTAATAAATAGTTTTCTTAAGTTCAGTGCCATTTTATCGATCTGTTACCTAAATTGTAGCTTAATGTCTGCATATGCCGTAAAAGTTCATCGACTTATTCGTTATAATGTTAATTAATATCATTTTAATGATGCTTTTAGTTAGTACCATAAAACCCAAGTGTTTCAACTTATAAATAACAATATGTTATAATTGTTAGAAAACTCTATTATTAACAACAAAAAATTATATTTCCCCAAAGGGTATCCCACAGATTTTGATATACCGGTACTAGTAAAGTAAAATAAACATTATATAAATGATTATATGTAAAATAACTAAATACAATGAAATATATTTAATAATTTACAATTTAAAATGTAAACACGACTCCACTTTACAATTACAGTATATAGCTAATTAAAATTAATTATAAAACATAGATTTATTGAATTACTTGAATACATATTGAAATATTAATGAAACACTTATTGTCGGCAAACATAGGACTGGATCTGGAATGAAGAGGCGAAGGAATGCCGGCGAATGAAGATTCAAATCAATAGATATAGACGTCTATTAGTGCAACAAAACCAACTCAATGAGAGCGTGTCGTCGACCACCCGTTCCCACGATTCTTCGCCCGAGCCTATGACCAGCCTATTGGACATTAGGCATCCCGTCCCTCAATCCACGAACATATCATTCATACTAACAGTGATGGCAAACAACAACAACAATCATAATGTCTTAACCGATGGGCTAACAAATTCAGACACAAATATGTTTCCCATTTGTGACACAATATACCAAAAGGCGGTTCAAATGGAAATGGCTGTCCTTCCCATCGCCAGACCTACTCTCGACTCTGACCATACATTTAGCGAATTAGAAGGCAATCGATTCACGGAATTACTTTTAATGAAACACTTATTGTCGGCAAACATAGGACTGGATCTGGAATGAAGAGGCGAAGGAATGCCGGCGAATGAAGATTCAAATCAATAGATATAGACGTCTATTAGTGCAACAAAAACAGCTCAATAAGAGGGTGTCGTCGACCACCCTTTCCCACGATTCTTCGCCCGAACCTATGACCAGCCCAGTGGACATCAGGCATGCCGTCCCTCAATCCACGAACATATCATTCATACTAACAGTGATGGCAAACAACAACAACAATCATAATGTCTTAACCGATGGGCTAACAAATTCAGACACAAATATGTTTCCCATTTGTGACACAATATACCAAAAGGCGGTTCAAATGGAAATGGCTGTCCTTCCCATCGCCAGACCTACTCTCGACTCTGACCATACATTTAGCGA